CCGGTTTTGCGGTTCTTGCCGCCCGTCACGCATACGTATCCGGTAACCTTTTGTCAGTTCATTCGTATACATATATACGTGGATTGTATTAAACATTCGTGTTGTGCTACCGGAAATACCTGATCACACACTGTCTCCAAAACCAGCTTGAGATGTTTCCTCCGGGAATCAGTGCCGCTACTTTCAACTGTGTGAAGTAAGGCCTGAACAGAATGATGCTTTTCGATATGAACTCGATCCAGACATACACCATCGACCAATTGACTGGGCATGCTATTCGATCCGAATTAATACAGATTGGATAAGTGATACCTTAAAGTTATCGGTGAAGTTGTTCTGTTTTTCCTTTTTCCTGCTTAAATAATCAAATGATTCGAATCGAAAAATCATGCAATTTAGATTTTGCCTTATTCTCAGGACTCTAGTCATTAATTTGATCGCATATTGTACGTTTACTGAGGCATGACTGTTTCACCTCATCCGTATTTTTTGTTGCACATTTCTGTACAGTTCGTACATTGGGAAAAATTATCTTTTCAACGATCGCTTACGAAGTGAGCCCATGAATTCGATCGTTAGCCGCTGGGGCATGAGAAATTCATCGATCCATTGAACAAGAAATTCTGTTTAAGCTTGCAAATTCTTGAACAAGGTTTAGCAAATTGGTCGTCATAGCTCGGGTACACGGAATACCATTTCAACTTTTCACTTTCAACTTTTCAATTGGTTTGCAAACGTTTAATCCCCAGTCTAAGCGAGGTTTTCAGGCCTGGTATTGGGATACTGGCTTCTGTTGCTTCCATTCATCCACCTAAATTCATTCTAATTAAACAATTTTATCCATTCTCTGGATTCTTATCGTCTCCGTTTTTCTTTGAACTACTAGGGAGTGGTGAGGGGTGGGTGTGGGGTGGGTGATCATTTGGTCCGTTGACACGTCACTCACTCTTTCTTTTAGTCATCGTATCGTTGAATCACCTTGGCATATAAAAAACATGATTCGATTCATTGTGCCTATTCATTGGTTTGTTCGAACAAGGTCAAGTCTTGCTTGGTTCACTGTCCTGTTTCATTCGGGCGAGGTTCCCCCTCCACACTTGACTTGTGACCCCGTTTTTGTGGGAATGCAAGACATGCTGTGCTTTCTGACTACCGATTGATTTTTTAAATCCTTATTTACGTGTCGGTAATGTTCTTGAAGTTTAATATTCCGTATTGGTTAGTATTATAGAACCAAGTTCTCAATTCATTTGAACTCAAAAAAATTTATTTCGCCTGTTCTCCGAGCTCGCAATTTATTCGCAAACGTTTCATCATTACCCATCATCAGTGCTTGTGAAGTGGCAGTATTCTGTCTGTACCCGTTCGCCTATAAATATATATATATATGTTCTTCTCCACCGACCAATTTTGTCACTTGTTCTCATTGTGTTCGATTCGGTTTGCCTTTAAACCGGTGCGTTAGGGGGAGGGGGAGATTAACTCAAACTCAAATTGAAGAAAAAGATTAAAGTGATTGGTTTTTGGGGTGGATCCTCTAGGTGTCATTTAGAATTTATTTCCGTAGTAGGCGATTTCTTATTTGCGAAATATGCGGTCAGATGGCTTGAGCGTATGATTTCCACTTCTGAGACGGCAATCATTTAATTGAAATTAGAATCATATTTCAGATTTTGTATAGGACACTTCAAGACATCGATCGTGATCAGTGTCCGCAAATCCCAAGTTTATCAGAGATCCAGGGAGGAACACGATTTAGTTGTGCAAACATCAATCAATAAAATCGATTTATTCGGTGTTTTTCTTTTCAGGCCAATTTATTCTGCGTCCCGTAGCGCAACGCATTGCTCCGGGTGGTTCGATTCACCAGGCTTGCAGTACAGTGAAAGAGCCGATTTTTATCGAATGGTATCATAACAAGGTAAGTGGAAGTTGGTTCAACTGAGCTGCGATTTGGCGAATTTGGTGGTACTGAGTAGCCGGTAATCGATATTCTCTTCCGGATTTGATTGCACCCAGGAGTAGCATGAGAGCATTACAGTTACATTGTCATAAATCAAATGCTTGATTAGCTTGCGTCCGAGATTTGATTTAACTACTCCTAATAGTTCAATTTCAATCAAAATCCGCAATTACGGTGAGATAAAATCATCACTCCCCGGGAAACGCGCTCTCTCTCTCTCTCGAACCATTTCCGATCCTCCCATTGTGGTCGACCTTTTCTGAGTGCTGCCAGTGCAGTGTAAAAAAATGATCCGTATTATACAGACAAGCATACACACAGAGAGAGATCATAAAAAATGAAGTCGGTGATTTGGACTGTGAAATGATATTTGCTTTTTTTTCGCGCACTGATAGTCACAGTGACCTTTTTAATTCCCACCCGGGGGAAAGGGGGGCAGGATATCTTTGTGCAATGATTTATCAAGTTACTTTCGATTGTTCTCACTTCCGACATCTGCCTGCTGGTTCATTGATTCAAGTCCCATCGCACTGTGGGTGCACATGCGAATTTGGACTTGTTTTTGTTAGTTTCCGTCAGAAAGGATATTTGTTTTGGAGCTGAGGGACACAATAATAAAACTAATAATCAAAAAATATCAAATGAAACCATGAATGACTATTTTATCTGTTATTTTGGTTTTGCCACTGATTAGATCATTTTGTGACAAATAGTTTGATTTTATTTGCAGTGTTAATGAATAAAAAAGGGATGTGCGACATTTTGAAGCTAATTAAACACCCTGTCTGATTCAAGATTCAGTCTCTATCGTACTTGCGTAGGGATCGATGATCGCCATGGAAAAATATCTCATCCCATACCTTACCAGTTTGGTGGTAACGTTGTTTGACCGTAACGGTTGCATAGTGAGTCCACGTCAAGTTTCCCGGTTTCAACGAAATTTGTTCTAGTTTGTAACAAAATTGGTAAGACAACGAGTGGCTTTCTTCAGTCAGAAAAACATGCTATCAGTGGAGATGGAATGTGTCAAGTTTAGCGAGGATATTTGGTCCTTCATGATGAGAATAGGTCAAAATGTTTAGCAGTGTTTCATTTGTGATCTGCGGATAAAAAGGAATCGCTGAAGGCTGAATGGGTTCTCACTTGGGGCTACATCAGTCTATCACACTAACCAAGACCACAGTTCACAAAGTGTTACAACACACCCATTTCGTGACATTCACATTTGCTACAGATTTCTCAACCTATACCAGAATAGATAGTTCTGTTGTCAACTTTGATAATCTGGATACAAACAGGGAGCAAGGTTTTGTGAGAAGGCAAAGAAACGGACTGCTTTGACACGAGCGAGGATCTAGCAAACAGTAATTAGGAAAGATTGCCATATCGGTTCTACTGGCCATGCTTGGAGGAACTAAGCAGGAGGAACGGATAAAAGATGGCTCAACGATCAACGAAGTTTAGTTGGAATGTGAATAGTACAATTTCTCGAATGAATCAAGGGTTCTCGGCGCCAGCAATTATCATGATGGATCTGTAGTGCAAATCCCACGATCCAACAATGTCAGATGTCAGTCCTGGAAGGTAACCAAACCGCGCAGCCATGCGGCTAAACTCCTATCGGTTATCTGGTTACTGTCATCTGTTGCGTAACATGGCTATACAATGGTACCATCCGGTGAACATGTGGGGATGAAGTAAAGTTGTGATAATTGCCGAAAAGTTGTTGAACCGTCTCAATCAAACGAACTGCGAGGCGTTGCATATTGAAAACAAACAAAACAAAGATTGCTGCTTTCGTTATCAAAAGACTTTTCTCCACTCAATGCCCAGTGATCTCAACAGGCTATAGCGTTTGCTTCCATTCTGAAACATGTTTGAATTGATCGCCAGTTACATTCAACGTTAAGAATATTTCATAATGTTTCCACACATTCAGTTTCTACTCCCAGCTCTTATTAAGTTTAGTGGTGACGTGTTGGTGGTCTGGATAAAGTGATATGTATGACTGAAACTGAATATTCTTCAGATTTCAACTTCACACACTCATCAGCTCTTCCAATCAATCATGCACTCGGAAGCATTATACTCAAGTTTAACTTTTATTAGAGCTCATCAGTAGTGCAGTTCCACCGTCCCGTCCGGGAGCTGAACTCCGGATCCACCGGGCATGGAGGGCGTGTGTGTTATCACTGTGTCAATCAGCCCATGCCAGGGCAACGAATTCTGCTCAGAACTGGCATAACCTAGTGGACACAATGGTAACACATACGCCTCCCATGTCCGATGGGTTCGAAGTTCGAATCCCAGATGGGACGGTGGATTTGTACTACTGATGAGCTCTACTGGAAGCGAAATTCAAGTCTAGTGTTTCCGAGTGTATGGTTGACTGAAACAGCTGATGAATGTGCGTGAAAGTGAAGTTTGAGGTATAGTCAGTTCCAATCAATTAAAAACAATTTTACGACAACTCTACTCCCAATTAACTGTGAGTTAAAGAAAGTGATGTGTATTCTAGGGAACGATTTTCTCTGGAAAATCTTGTGTCTGATCTACCACCACATTGCCAAATTTATCATTCCTAAAGTTGTCATGTGTTGTACTCCATTGTTTGGTTATGTTTTTATGCAACACTGCGATAAACCAATTTTTAAGTGCACGGGGTACACAAGCAGACGTTATGAAATAGACCAACATCCTCGGTGATATATGTATGTCATACAGCTGAAGTGCAACTGTTCTGTTTTTTGAGCTGAAAACATACATAATAATTATGTGCAATACGACAGTTATTCACCTTTCAAAGCATGAATCTTGAAGACCAAGCTATCGAGGAGATCACTCGGTCCCCATTTGAGTCACTCATAATTTGACACCCAAAAAGACATGAGATATTAAAGAAGCTCCGAGAATATTTGAACCCACATCCACATATCCACACGTAAACTTGAATCGCACACATGGAGACTTTAACAGTTTTCAAGGTAATAGACATTATCTATTTGGTGACACTGACGAATTTCAACTGTTTCCCCTCATGTTCGTCTGCTTTCACGAGAAGCAAAAAGTGGGCAGCTGTCTGTTTCAAAGTAACACAACTAGCAGTACGATTGGAAATCAAAATTTCAAATTGTTCATCGGTCATCACGCGGATCGATTGGTATGCCATCTGACCGTGGCAAATGTGAAATATGAGCAAACCGGGGAGTACAGCTGTCGTACAGTTCATCCTACGTCCGAGGGAGAGACCGCCTCCGCCTTAATTCTGGTCTATCGTGAGTAAATTTGTGGTTGTTTTATTGTGACCGTATCACTTAAACAATTACTATCAGGGACGATACCTGCATAAGTACCGTATATTCAGGAAGCAGCGGATTTGATGTTCACTCTTCTTGGCCTTTCAAGTTGTTTTTGAGGTTTGGTCTTGTATTCATTATTTTTCACCTTTATCAAAAGCAGTTCGCATAGTAGCTTTTTAATGTAAACTTCAAACTTTCGAAGGGACCTAATCTTGGCATATCACATACTGCATCAACCCAACCACCCTTGCCGTTCTATGCTGACTTTATCCCATAATGATCACCTCAGGAGACATCCACTACAGATGAAGACTCAGAACAGCCACCTTGATTGCCGGCATCAATCGTTTGCAGTCATTGTCTGTGGTGTGTGGAATTCTCTTCCATCCCATATAGTGTGTGCTCCTACAGTTGAACTATTTAAATTACAACTTGATAGACCATTGGAACACTTAAAATTTCAACAATCGTGAGTGATCATGCACATTATTATCATTGTTATTTTCTGTTTGTGAAATTATTCAAAAGATTCTGTAAAAATTCTATGGGGTATGATAAGCTTTAGCTTTGTTAAATCGCCCATAATAAAACTTTGACTTTGATATTCAAATAGCATTGAATAACTGTTTAGTCATTGTGATCATGTGTTCCCATCGGGACACAAGCCAGGAACATTTGGGTATTGAAAGATACAATTTTCATGAATGGGGAAGTGGCCAATCAAGAAGCTTCCATAGAACACATAATGAGGGAAAGACAGGCGTTGGTGATTGGATTCGAACACATGTCCTCCGAGGTGATATTTGGTGACATTACCACCGGGCTGCGCCGCAGTTGAAATAAGCTTTGCCCGTGATACATTTGGAAAGAGAAGCCAGTGCAGCAATATTATCTGGATTATGTCCTGATCGATTGTGCTGAATCTCGACCGATGCATACTGCAGACACGTATAATGTTTATATAGGGTTTGGGAATAGATTACAAAATAAACACTTGTAAATGGGAATGTGTGTGGGGGGGGGACAAGGTGATGAATAAGTCTTTTTGTAGACACAAAATTGAGTTGCATCGATCGATTGAAATCGCCTCGGTGATCTCGAGCATTCTGGTGTTATCATTGGTAAAAACTAGTCGCAGTGCTTTTTCTCTATCCACACGACGTTGCATCATCAACAAGGGCTTAGCAGTCAATGAGCTTTGTGGCTTGTAAGCATGGTCTGGCTGTGTGGACTTTGACATAGCAACCTTGCATTGAACCCAGTTCAGAATGTGCTCTAAAACCCGATTACGTAGTTGTCTTTCTGTTCTGCCTGTTTAACTGTCTCCGGACCCACATTGGAATTGACATCTAACTATTTATTCCGACGGTTATAATAATTAATTAAGCAGGTTCTGCTGTTAAGTCACCCGAATCCACAGACATCAGGATTTTTCTCTGATGACCAGAGTACGCAGATCACTTTGTGGCAAATCCGCCCCCGTTAGGTCATCAATAAACATACAGGTTTATCTGCCCTCCCATGCGTATGATGACGTATCCAAGTTTATTTCTGGTTACACCAATCCCAAATTCGTCACGTGTGTGTGTGTGTGTAGAATGCACTTCGCTCAATGCTTCTTCCTGACCGAAGAACGAGATAAACACAATATGATATCATACAGATGCACCCCACTGAGTTCTGATTGGCTTTCTACTCCTTGTGGAACTATGTGCTTGTGGGGAAAACATACGGATGGCTTTCAAAAGCATTGTTCTTTCCAGTGTAACTAACATGGGAAAGATGGGTCACTGAGGTTAGAGATGATATGCAGAAACATGATAGCCATACCGGGTTCAAATTACTCCACGGGGTTGATCACGGATTGAGTGGTCAGTGTGTGTGTGTGCGGAACGGTGAGTTCAGCTCGGAGCAATTGGACACCCATTTGACGCATCCGGAGAAATGAAATCGGATTTAACACTGCGGCATCCCAGGGTGTGTGAATCACGGGCCAAATGAGTGCTTTGTGACCCAGTCTTATCGTCATTTGACACGGGTGTCCTTGTCAGGTGGAAATGTGGGGAACTGACTCCAGCTGACCTCAATTCACCTAACCAGCCCATCGCAATTTGAAAAGCAGAGTAAACCCGTCCAGTGACGGATTAAAGAATATTTTGATTCCCTTTAGACGCAGTCTTTTTCGATGCTATCTCTCGGCCTGGGATCAACGGAACAAACAAATCGTGATGGGAATTTTGTTGTTGTAGTTTAGAAATTTACCGGTCTAGCTAGTTTGTGGATTGTTTCAAACGCTGAACCCCGGAGGATTAATAAGTAGTCAATGAATAAAAAGCAATCCTCCTAGAACCGCTTAAATTCAATTGCCGGGTAATCCGATCACATTAAACCTACGGAAATTTCATCAGGATCAAAAGAAGACATGTGTGTCGCGAGATTTTACCATTTCACTTAATCTTCTCAATCGCTGGCGTAGAACAAACAAGCACATTTATAGCACATTGCGTTTGTAAATCCCAGTGAATGGAAATATACAGATAGACAGGGACAATTCGAAGTAAAGACGACAGGTGAACTCCACTGCAAGTAAACTGATTAGGTCGGCAACTTTTGACCGCACAGAACGGGATGATATATTCGGATTAGCAATGCCTCGCTTATTGCCAACAGTTTTGTATTGCAGTTACGCAACTACCGCTTGACAGAAGAAACGGGATGAACTGTGTTCGGTTGTCATTAGGTGTTTTGTAATTGGTATGACCGCCTGATTACTGAGCGTGGGTTGCGTCATCGACTTCACCAACCACTTTGGAATGTGTTCAGCCGTCCGCTGTGATAACTGACGGTTGGTTCTGCCTATGTATGCGTCACCACAACTGCACACACTGTGTGAGACAAAACTAGATTGCCAACCACGCACATATTTGTCCGAATCGATTCCAGGAGTAGAGTATATTACATATTCTGTTACTACATGGTTTCATATCTGAAAAATAGCATAAACAACTGAAGCCAATGGGGACAGAAACACCACAAATGTGAGGCTCGCCCCGGTCTATCTGTATATATTCATTCACTGGGATTTACAAATCCATTGTGCTTCTTTGTTTTACGTCAGCGATTGATAGGATTAAACGAAATGGTAACATCTCATTACGCATTTCTCTTCTTTCTGTCTTGATGCAATAAATGGGACCCAAAGTTTGAAATTTCGAACAAACTTTGTTCAAATGCTAAAGGTTGATCACTGTTAAGGTATGTTAAACAATCACATTTCGTAGAAACTCTGTGATTTCATTCGGGCCGATATGAGAACAAATGCAATGTCAACTTTACCCGTGCTTATATGCGCGTGTTATTCTCCAGAAATGTTCCACGTTCAGTTCACATAACTGCTACCCAGATTTTGGTTTTACTCTCTTGGTTACCAGTTTTGTTCTACCAAAGAAGAGGAAATGAATGACAGAGCGTAAAAGAGCTGACAACAACCACTAATTATGTTCGTCACGTGGTCCTCAACGGTCATCATACCCTCACGTCACAGATTGCTGTTTGACTCCTCCCGGTTTTCTGACACAGATTATGGACTTGGAAACTCGTCGAACACACACACACCAAGCACCTTAGCGGATGATATAAGTTACACAGACTTTCCAGCCCCCACAATTTACAGAGGTCGAGTAGTTCCGTCATTGCCCGGTCGAGACCATGTAGTCCTAACATCTACATTGCTTTCCAGTCTTGCAATGCCTCACTCTGTCTACTCGTTCTTTTGGGGTCTCCACGTTTTGTGAACTTAGTTTGATCCAGTATAATAATCCGGCGTCATAGGTTGTTTGTTCCCGTCATTAGGCTTTTTGGGTGCATGGGTTCCGATGCATTAACTGAATGTGCAATCAGTTAGTTCTTGGAAACCTGCCTGCCAAAAAACCAAATTCCTTTTTTGTTTTCTAGTTCGGTGACACATAGAAAGATGGTTGACTTCACTACGGAGCAGTGATTGCATAACAATCGGAATTCGGGTTTATTTGTCCATTGGCTGAGTAATTATTTTTATGATCGAATTGACCAAAACATCAGCTATGTCTACATACTTACAGTACTTAGAATTTCAGAGTTTCTGTTAGAGGCAAGCATTTGAGTCGCTCACATAAAACATCCATTTATACAGGACGATAGGGAACAAGGGTAAAAGGCAAATAGAAACAAACTATCAAACAACCGGGTAATGTGTTTGTAGAAAATGGGGAAAACCGACAGTTTGACTTTTTTGTTCGCTGATATTCCTGCTGAAGTGATCTCCACCATAAACGACATCAATCACCAGCACCATCGTATGTGGGAAAGAAAACAATTGACCCGGTTTTCCCACTCTGGTGTTAGGCAAACCTAATAAATAAACTTTACTGTTAACTTCTCGGTTTGATCTGACATTCATTATTCCATATAAACTGACATCGTGTATGTAGCAGACCGAAGGAAGAAAGTTAAAAACACCAGGACCTCGAAATACACTCCTTCTTTTCGTGTTTATAAATTGAAAACAAGTTTGCCGCTAGTGATGTCGTAATGATAACATTAGTAACCAAGACAAATAAGCCAACCAAACCCTTGTCAGGAAGCTTTTCACAATTTAGAATCGCTATGTGCATGTAGTGATGACACAATCAGATACCAAAAGGCATTTGCTATTCAGATGTCTGACTCCGCACAAACTTCGATTGCACAATCATGATCTGAATGATAGAAATGTCAATGCTTATGTGTGTTAGGAGTACGGATGCAGACTCTCATTTATATGAAATCATAAACAACCTGACCTGGTGAAACTCTGCGAGTTGATGCAAGCACTACGAGCTGCACCAGTTAAACCCTTACTCCACTTGACTAGCTACAGGAATAAATGCTATCAATCACTAAGTTAATGTAAACACGTGCAGTATTGACTTACGTGTCATATAAATTGGCTGTTAGACGGAGGCACGGAGACATATCTCCCTCTGCCTCACTGTACAAAAAAGTATGAACTGAGCGAATTTTCAAGGACGAAATAAAATCAATCAACCGAAATTTCTGGCCAATCAATTGAAATCGGAAGAACTTTATTAGCAGCACAGTCACTGAGATTTCCGCACAGCACTTGTTCTAGAAAAAAAACCCGATTTCCCGCCTGAAAATGTGTTCCCGTCCGTAAAAAGTCACTTTCTTCCGCAGTTCATATGTGCAATATTATTTTATAAACTGTTTCTTTCCATCCCAGGAATTCGACTTTGCCATGGTAGATTTACGCAGATTGAATGGAGCTTTAAATAACCACATCTTGTTGGTTCGCCTTATTTTACCACTGTGAACCATTTCACGGAATAACCAAACAAATCTTGCCTCGTGCCCCCCCCCCTCCGCGCCATCGCCCAGATCCAATCATTGATGTGCACTTGGAGCTGACCAACGAAACAGCTCTGGCGGTCGGTCAGGAGACCACGGTACAGTGTGTTGCTCGAGGCGGTCAACCGAATCCGGTTTTGCGTTTACAGCTGGGGGGCGAGCCAATCACGAACACGAAATTCAAACAGAAATCAGACGCTGACGGTGAGTGCATTCCACCGACGAGGTGTTTTGAACCAGGAACGAAAGCATTGCTGAAAATCGTGTAGTTTGTGATGTATTGACTATTTGGTGAAGGAAATTCTCTTCGAATGTTGTTCGCAAAGAGATAGTAATACGGAAGCTTTAAGTAATTCATCGAATAAACAAATCAACTCCTTCATTACTGTCATACATTAAATAATCAGGTTGTAAATGTTTCCAACCGAGTCATAAACTCAGAGGCTAGTGTTGAGATGAGCGAGGTCTATGACCCATAACAAGCTCGCAGGAACTGGTTGTGCAATATTGTGTAAATTCAAAATGCGAAACGGTGGTCGTGTGGGTAGTATGCCTGCGCTCTACCTATGAGGTCCCGGGTTCGTCATCCCCCTTTGGGTCGATAGATTCACTCACTGCTGCTGATGAAAACCAACCAGTTCGAAACAGCTGTCCACTCCTTCCAAGCTTTTTAGCTCGCGCCTCACTTACACAACGAATTCATCATAAAAACAAATCATATCCTCCATTACTCTCATACGTTAAGTAATTGTCAGATCTGGTTCAGTTCAATGGTACTATTGGCTCAATTAAGCGGATTTATAGTCCGGCTAAACAGGTTCCTCGTTCGCACGATAGCCGCTGCCAACCTTTTCGTGGGCCAATCCTTTCTCTTTTGCCCAGTATCTCTCTTGTTTTGCACGTCGTGTCAGAACAGAAAACGTCCCACATAGGACAGGGCAACCCTTCATTTAGTTTGAGTTTTGAGTGTTCAAGTACTCTCGTATTAGTTGTAACCAATCCACATTAAGAATGACGTTTGTGATTAGTTAGGCATAGAAAATACATCTTTGGATATATGTCTTTGTTAAGACCTCAAACAACACCATCAATTCCTAATTTGCGTAATTTTAATTTTTATTCTCAATGTAGTTTTCTACTGTTTGGTGAATATATGTACAGTGATATTACTGAATAAATAAAATAACCTAGGTTCTTGAATGGGGTGCAAAAAATTGAATTTTTCGTCCGACTTCGATCAATAAAGTTAGTTATCAGGCATATGCAGATAAATGAAATGCAATATCGTAGACAAGCATTGGAGAAGGCTATTTAGGTGAAAATACGTTTAATCAACAAATTCTTATTATAAAATTACTTTTGTATGCGAAAAGATTTACATTTTTGTTGCGTATTTAGCTAGTTAGCGTCTGACGAGAGGGACGCATTCTTTCTCTAAAGTGATGGGTGATTGTAGTGGTTTTGTTAAAATTAATTGTCATACAGTCTGTCTATAGTTTATCACGACTCTTTCGGAAAATCACAGGGACAACTGAAATTCGCCTTAACAGGGAGAATCAATCAAGAAAATTCATTTTGGATCAGTCCGCATGAAGAATCCACTTTTGAGCCAAATCAAACTCTAAGCATATTGGGTTTTTTTGTGTGTACTACAACTCTTACTGGAGAAGCTTTCTTTCAATACGAGGGTTAAGCGAAAAAATCATTCCGGATACGCCCTTACACGTGTACGAGGTGCAGAAGACCGGGACAAGGAAGACGTGAACTATAATCCCGTATTGGGAATATTGTTCAGTTATTGTAACTCATACACAGAACCGAACATCAACACAACCGACAGTACAGCTCACAAGTCATAAGAGGGTCGCCGCTCTACTCGGGCAGTCGTAAGAATGGAACTCATTTGATTTCACATTGGATGTGGGCGATGGTTTTCTACGAATAGAAATGTGGTTTGCGAGTTCTCCCTGGAGATGACGCTCTTTCAGGAAGCAATGTGTGCGCAAACGTTAAGCGCACGCTGTGTGGAATCCGACACGGGTCACGAACAATTGCAGTGGATGCCTTCATTAAACTGGTCGAACAGTTGCCCACTTAGGCATGGTCGAGTTGTTTCACCAAGTGGTTTGAGCGCATGGAACTGTGGTGTATGAACGCTGGAGGCGGAGAATACTTTCAGAAAATGTATTGCTAATTCTTGTAATAAGAAATAAAACTCTTTGTGCATTCGGAAAAGTTTGACTCAGCCCTGATTTAATTGTTTCAAAGGAATGTAAATACCATTTTCATGCAGTATTTTTGATTTTGACTGCAAACATCGCTTTGAAAAAATAGCAACGGCGAGAGGTTGAATAAGGAATTAGTTAGTCACTAAATCCTGACGTTACAAGAAAGTGCTGAGAGATAGCTGTCCGTGTGCTTATGGACAAGTGGGAAATACATCCAGACGTTTCTCCGCTTATCTGGTATGCTTTCTTTACCAGAAATACAAGGACAATGCGGTGGAGGTGATTTTTCTTATCTCAGCGCTCAGGCAGATCACCTAGTGTTCCTCAATTCCCCCCCCCCCCCGGANAAACACCGAGACTGGACCACCACAACTAATTTGCGGATATCAATAGGTTGTTCGACCACACATACGCACACGCAAACAAACATACAAAGATGACTTTTAGTCGTTTGATTTAAATCTAATCATGTCCATTAAGTGCTCACTCATTTTATGCATCCACATGAGCTTCATGGTTGTAAATTAAACAATTTACAATATTGGACAAAATGAAAATAAGGTAAACCAGTCATCAGGTTTTAAGCGCAGTAAACAATTTTGTATTTCTTTGGAAACTCCGTGCTTATAAACAATCAGACGTGCAAGGTATGAACAACTGAAACATTTGAACTTTTAGCTTTTGTTGCGTAATAAGCGATCAATTGTCTGAGTGTATTTTGGACGCAAACATTCACATGAATTTAGCAGTCTGTTATTGATTAAGTTTAAACATGTATCTCCATTGACGCCGCATCATTTGGAGACCAGATTGATCTCCAGACAAGCTGAAATTTGTTTGGTGCAATCCACTCAATCGATGAAACGGCTTGAAGCGCAGAGTCCACTTTATCCATTTCATCAATGAAGAAAGAAGTTGAACATCGCGAGGTAATATCATTTCGTTTAATCTCATCATTTGCTAATTTAAAACAAACAGTCTATCTACCTATCTATAAACCTAAGTATGTATATGTGTATACATGTAATCGTAAAATAGTCCCATAGACAATTTAGAAAACGGTATTCGCGAAGAAATTTCTTGTCGGTATATTGCATCCGATGTTCACATATATAAGGTGATCATAGTACAGATATCTGATTGGCCGGTTAAAGCTCAGTTAGTAACGATGAAAGAGGCGAGCAAACAGGGCAAACAAATATGATAAGGCTGCAGTGATAGTCGTGCTGGGAGTGAGAAGACAAAAGTCAAATAGACAACGTTAGAGAGGTGAGCAGATTTAAAATGAATGTTGTGAGCTAATGCAAGAGAGTGGGATGAAGTTACATAAGATACAGTAGAAACTCCATGTCTTGCAGCCCTCTACAAAGGAAGGGTTAGATGTTTTCGCAGATCGGTTCTCGGTCGTCTCGTCGGTAACGGCATTTTGTGAACAAGTTCGATGTACTTAAAATTATTCACACTATACCCCGGAGATATCCCCAAGGGATAAGAAGGCGGCTTTTAACCACGTCCGAGGCGAGTGCAATTCGCATTTTCAATCGAGAGTTATGTAAGCAAAAAAGCTGGTCCTGACGCTGTTGTTGCCCTGGCCTGGACAGCGGATTGATTGTCCATAAAACAGAGCATCAACCCTGCTTCTCAACTCCCTTTCTTCATCCAGTATAATCAATCAAAATCTTAAGAACTAATTATTTTGTTTTTGTCTCCAGTGTCCCCGAATACATTACTTACATTACTTACTAGGCATGACATATAGTTTCTACCGTATCTTATGTAACTTCATCCCACTCTCTTGCATTAGCTCACAACATTCATTTTAAATCTGCTCACCTCTCTAACGTTGTCTATTTGACTTTTGTCTTCTCACTCCCAGCACGACTATCACTGCAGCCTTATCATATTTGTTTGCCCTGTTTGCTCGCCTCTTTCATCGTTACTAACTGAGCTTTAACCGGCCAATCAGACATCTGTACTATGGCCACCTTATGTATGTGAACACCTGATGCAATATATTGAAAAGAATTTTCTTCGCAAATATATATATACACAGCACATGGGGTCATTCAATTATGATGCAATCTGTACAACATGTACCCAACCAACACCATCAGCAGAAAGGTCACCTAAATAAAGCGTACGTTCAGAGGTGACCATATTTACAATGATGATGAGCGCCATAAGTTGAAGTCAACTCCAGGCCGTACATTCCCATCTGCTCAACTCATACCCATTGCTTCTACTTGCGGAATGGATCTGGACAAACGTAACTATGGCTGGCAAGTCAGTTCCATCTCGCACACTTTATACCAGTTCATGTGCTGCAGTTGCGGCGACACAGATCTAGACAGAACAAACCGTAAGCTCTCGCAGTGGATAGCCGAACATATTCCAAAGTGGTTGGTGAAATAGATGACGAAGTCGATGGTTGATGACCAATTGATCACACGAAATCCAGGACCATTTGTTGCGAAACACTTCATGAAAAAAAAAATTGACCCCAATTAGTCTCTCAAACAACCATTACATGATCGTAATGCGAGAGTTTCGTCAAGTAATGACGTGCTGCTTATTCGATTATATCACCCGACCTTATGCACANACACAAACGTTTTCGATACAATAAATTCACTTACCGTAGAGCTCACCCTCTACTTTTATATTCAGTAATCTTTATATGCCTTTACACGTTCATTCACCATACTTGACCAACCTCATGTGCTATATGTATGCATATATGGGTACTTGTTTTAAGTCCGCGATTGAGTAGATTAAACGAAATGTTAATACGTACCTCAAAATGTGTCTTCTTTCTGTGTTGGTGAGGTCGAAGATGACCCAAATTGGGGCAGGGCCGAGGTGGGTACTAATCATTTGTAAGGAGCAATCTCGAGAGCCTCAAATGCGACTGGTTCGGACGCTTTGGCCCATCGGGTTGACGGTGGCAGAACATAAGTTGTGTCCCTTGAACCAGGCGAACCAGACGAATACTGTCAAATGATATATAAGCCATTCACTCAGATGCAAACGGACATCAGCATCCACCCGAAATTCCTTCCCGAAAAACTGAGACTAACGGCCTTGATCCGAGTCAGTGACTTCTTGATGTAACCAATTGTCCGTTATTTGTTTTGTGTGAACATCATCATTGGAATAGGTCAAAATAAATATTCGTTCTCCAACTCCTATTTTAAATGCAAATCATGTTATTTGGTTAATGATACAGTTGTTTCACTTTGTATTATTTTGAGTGTTGGGGCTGGACGGATGGGAGGGGATTGATTGATTGATCGATACTTCTACATGATATCGTGCGCCTCACCCATCCAGACAAAGATTATTATTAGTGCGATCTGTTTGAAAGCGTGTTGTGAATATCGTGTTCGGTTCCATCACAGGGATTCTCACTTCCACCGTGACTGCGGACTTGGTGCTGGAAAATCATCACAATTGGAATTTACTCACCTGCCATGTGGATATGGATGTTTATCGAAATGTGAATCAGACGTTTCGGGTGTTACATTTGAATGGATATCGTAAGTTTTTGCCCACGCGTACCAGATTGTCTGTCTGTTGTCTGTTTGTAATGGTTGTTTTCCTAAATTCAATTTTTTTGATACAACTGTTTATTGTGGAATATGATAGCTCAGTCATTTCACACATCTCCATTCATGTTTGGAATGAAGGGAGACGCTTGGCAGATGGTGATGTTTCGGACAAATATGTTTTCGATTCAAGGTTGTTTTTATTCGACTATTTTATTTCCACAGTCTGTGTTTGTTTAGATGAGACAGGTGGACAGTGTTACAGACAGGCATGTCAATCAATCCGTGGATCCGGGTTTGAGTGAATACTACTCATTTGTCGGTTTGCACTCCGTCGTTATCGGGTGTTAATGGGGACCTCCAAAAAGTTGAATGACATGCTCACATTCACGCTGTGTTCAACATGAGTGCCCAATGACCAAGTTGATTTGGTCAGCGTTCATTTTCGTTTCGCTCATTCCAACAACATGTCAGTTTAACGGAGTCAATATGGACTGACGGTAGAACGATAGAGTTTAGGGGTGAAGATAATAAAATTGTAAAACATAAACCGGCGAAATTATTTCTCACCGTACGAAGCTTGCTCGAAATACAGACACATATGGCATGGGTCAATCGTAGGTGCTTTACCCTGTTCAGTTAGAAGTTGGATTGAGTTTGTGCAAGTCTAAACGAGATCATTGTCTTCGAGCCAAACAGTTCTAAATGTTCTAGATTTGGTAAATGAAAAACAAAAATAATCAGTTAAAAAGCACTTTGGATTTCGTCATCCTTTCTGCTCGTCAGGTATCCCTCGTAATCAGAGTTACAAATTGCCTTGTTCATCCTAATGGATGTTTTAGCTCCTTGCATACACCAGGGTCATTTATCATCATCATCATTTAGTCACAAAAAATTAAAATTAAAGTACCGTAAATTCAAAAGAAATAGGCGGCGTAAAAATGTGCAAATTCATATCATTTTTCTAGGATTTTTAAAAGGTGGTCTCTGACCTATGGTCTCGGTACCGGAGATCTCGAAAGACTAACGGTAAGCAATGTTACGAGTGTACACAAGTTAATAACGACATCTAGTTACAGAAGTGGATACGCATTGTTTAAGTACTGTGTGTAATAGGTGAGTAATGTCTGATAAAACATTGTTGCATTAGTTTTCTCAACGGGTAAACTGCTTGTCATCGATAAAGTCGAGCAAGTGTAAATAAGGAATACCGCTTGTGCATGGTATAGTTTTTAACAGACCGGCACAGAATTGCACATACTTTAACTGTAATACCGGCAAATAAAACGAAGGTGCATTAAATAAGATGAGTGACGATACAAGAACATACAAATGGGGTGAGTAAATTCAGTGGAACTCTTCAGGATCACAAGCGGGAATTAGAGAAACACAATCGTGGAATCATTTGAAAGTAGATTTGAAATTTAAGTTATTGACATGCCATTTGTTAGCAGTCATTTTGCGTCCCCCTAAGTTGTATATAGGGAAGCAGGGCACAAAACAAGTTTACGTTGGAAATACTTGGCCAATTAGTTATCCGGTGCATATAACCTCGAAAAACTCAAGACTAAGGTAAATGTTGGATGATTTTGATCATACGCAGTATAGGAATTAAATAAAAATTTAAAAATCGTTGCATATGTTTTTGTTGTATTGCTTTATGCACGTGTTGTTCCACAAATTTTAACAACACTGTCAAACTTCTGTGTGAATAAATATCATAATTAATAATTCAATTTATGTATTTTCACTACACAAGTGCGTCTCCCGTGAAAGCGGGAGGTGTCACATGCTAGAGGTTTGTTCGAAAACCTTAACACTGGTGGTCCAGTGAAGCTGGCAGTCATCATGTCACCCTAGCGTTCATATGTTCGGTCCCCTACACCATCACCTAAATGCATCTTTTTTTAATTGATCCTTTTCTGAAACGTTTTTGTTAAATTATGTATTTAATTAAAATAAATTGAAGCATTAATAACAACAAAACAAAGAATAATAGTTCGCAGGTGAAATAACAATATGACATCTTTAATATAAACTTCATCGATGAAATAATACTTATTTCAATAACTGGATTTTGCTCATGTAATTCGCTGTTGCACTACATCTCTTGAATGGTACGAGTCCTTCAGAACTGCATTACTCATTTGTTCTCGGTGAATTCTATCATTTTCAACCAATCTTATTTACAACCAAACGGATCATTGATTGTCTTTTGACTTAAGGCTTGCCCAGTGTAGCTCCATTGGGTCTGGCCACATTCATTTTGTCAATAAACAAGCGATCTTTAGAGTTGAGAGTTTAAGAAACGGCACCAGTTGGGAGAAAGAAGTAGATAGTAAAATGTGACTTTCAACCTAACCTGATTAATTGTAACGAAAAACGTCCAGGTCGGATAAATCTGAGCGTGCGTAAAATGTTGCACTTCGTGTTTAATTCAATTCGAGTATGAAAGTGGATCACATTCCGCGTCTCGATCGTTTTAACCGACTGCCAAATGCACGCTGATAAGGAATTCGCGTGGGTTTCTACGGTGATGCCATGTTCTATTTAACCCGTCTTGTCGTTCCAGTTTTTGTCCTCTGATCATACATGAGAATACCCTAAAAACCATAATCGATTTTGAACAGTCAATGAGATAATGTTGATGATGACGGAGTTGATGCATATAACATAGATATACACAAAACTGGCAGTTTGTGCAATTGATTTGATGCTGTGAGTTCGCACATAGTTTTAATTGTGGAAAATTAGCGTGCCTTCGAAAATCCTAAGGAATATAAATCTATAAAACAATACTTCGGAAGAGAAGGAGGACCATTTGCCAAGCTAGTTATAATCGTTATATAACTTTAATTTACTCAAATGGTCAATTTAGCTGATGCATTTGTGTTTTCCGAATGATTCAATCCCTTAGATCATGCAATCAATCAATCAATAAATTAATTGACTTTCTTTTGTTCTCTCAGGTCCACTGGAGTTGTGAATCACGTTTACCTCGAATAGTTTACACGTTCCATTCGTGATTCCTTGCTGATTGGACGGATTGTCAATCCAAAACCACTTCTTTGATTCAAAACAATAAAGTTACTATCTCCTTACTGGGTTTGTCCAGTGTCCTTCAATTGTCAGTTGTTTTTTACTACAATGCGGATTGCTAATTGGAGTGTGTTACCTTGTTCATCAAAGAGATGTATTGTTCTGCAATAAATTCCGTTCTAGTGCTTGGTGGCATCGTGCTTCTGTTCAGTGACTTGGACTAGTTAGGGTTGGAAAAATAAAGTATTTGCGGATACGGTTAAGGAACTTTCAAATAAAATATTTGCCACTTTCTTCGAGAACCATTTTGCCTTTTCCTATGGTGGCGCAGTTCATCTTTTCCGACCCCCTTCCTCTATCTATACAGGCAAGAATTGAACCAATTGAGATTCCACAGCATTCTAATGACTACGGTGACCTTAAAGCTTACATTTGAGTCCAACTTGTTAAGGGGGTTACCGACGGATTACAGAATATGTTTATGCATGAAGGAACACAACGATATTGGGATCTGTAGTTGACGGATGGGAACGACAGAAAATCAAATGTGTATAGTGGATTGTGGGATCCACAAGTGCCTTATGTGCAAACTTTTCACGTACATTCCAATGGCGTCCCCACATGGAGAGGTTGGTTAACTGCTCTCCCAGCGATATTAAACAGACAGTCCACGTTAACCTAACTTTAAGTTTTCCATTAGGAGATTTAAATAAAAAATAACGTGAAGCGGTAAACACAACTGTAGACAAATTGGGAGATCCTAGAATGGTCATTTCAAAAGTCTTCAAAATTTAGTGACGATTTGTTGTTGGTTTACGTTAAATTGATCAAAGACCCCCTCAGTTTATTTAAGGACGGAATTGGGAACCCAAGTAGACAAATCGCTAATATGGATAGAAAGTAAGTATCAATTAGGGCTGTAAATTGGAGTACTTTGGAGTTGTTTACCAGTGGTTTGATTTTCCTTTGATGCATTGAGATCTCCCATACAAGCATTCAGTAAACCAGGCTGAAAAATGCTCCGGACAAACGAAGAATCAAATACAGATAAGCAGACCAAAAAACATACATAGTACAAATGTCGTAGAGTCAGTCCTTCAAGGATTTGGTAATGTTATGTGAAAGTGAGGTGATCGCTTCTAGTGCGCATTTGTTTGGTTTGCAGGAAAACTGAAACGGGTCAAAAGGAATATCAAAAGAGAACTGGATGCGTGTAAGGGCAACACATTCTGCTAGTTTAAGACCAACAGAACTAGCAGCAGAAAGACGTGATTGGCTTGAACGCTTAAATTAGCAACTTAGTGGGTTAGGAATATCACCATAAGCGAAAGTTTCCTTATGAAAATAAACAGTATTTTAAGAGTGTAAGTTTGGGCAGATGTGTCAATCACTTCTTTTGAGCGGCCTAACTCGTCTAATTGAAAACTAGTGTTTTGAGGATTTTGTATTTCCGCTCGGTTTTTCTTAAGCGCGTGATCTAATTTCATTAAATTTTACCAGTAGGTATCTGATTTGTTCAGTGATTTCCTGGACGGAGACCGCAACAAAATAGCTCGCTTGAAATCGTCGATACTTGATAGCATCATATTATTTTGGTGGATATCAAAATGATACTGCGATAGAGTATCGTAATCCTGTTCCGACCATCGAATTAGTTCCGCGTTTGAACACTTTTGCCCTAGGGTATTATTTCTTTGAGAAAATCTCAGGTAATTTTGCTTAGTGGTTAAAAATGCAAATTGCACATGTTGATACACGAATCCCTTGAAATGAATCTGAAACCTATATTGGGAGGTTTTTGTAACTCCAATGTTTCGAAATGCTGGTGTACTGCTTCACGTTTCGTCCAAATTGATCACACTGACCGGCAATCACACGGGGCCAGTGCTCATGAGGCCTCACGGATTGATCTAAGTGTGGCATGGTAAAACATCTCTAACGAGTACACACGAACCCAATTATCTGATGTGTGCTTCATGATCAGGTCCTATCATTGTCAGCCTTGCGAATAAACTGAGAGCGATCACAGCTATCTAAAGAAACTGAAGCAAAAGTTTTCAACATGAAAACCGATTTCGCCGTAATTTATGACAAAGTTGACTGAGAAGGAGAATACAGAGATAGAGAATGAGTGCAGCATTTTTCTGGAGAAAGCCAATCACTAAAGATATGTCAAGTAGTAAAACACGGATAACTGTTTCAGATATTATTTGAAATCGTCACCCAGTTACTTACCGACCAGCTCGATTACGAATAAACAAGAGTGGATCGAGCTTCTCTTTTGATGAAACGCATCAGCTGTGTGATTTTTATGATATTTTATGGTCACTGCTGAACCAACAAAACCTGAAAAATATAAGTTTAATATTTTTTGTCTGGTAAAATATTCAAGTCCGAAACTATTGTACAATGGACGCGTAGACGCTAGAAAACTGGTGTTTGCTTGGCATTGCTATTTACATATAATTTTTGAAAATGAAACAATGTTTTGAAAGTCCCACAGAGCACATTTCAAACCAAAACAACAGAGTGGCGAACAAGCTCGTTTTCAGAGATTCGTATTCATGCCAATACATCTCAATATATATCACTACTTGGGAATAAAATTGTCATGGGAAAATAAAATAAAATAAAAACAGATTACTAAAACCGATTTCATCGTGAGACCGGAAATCGGGTTCACCACGATCACATGTTTGTTTGTCCACTCATC